AGTGATAAATCATCCCCCAGCAGGGATGGCCACACTGCAATCCCTTCTGGGATCTTGGGCATGCATGCACATACACAGCGTGATTTTCAAACCACCGGATCCAGGACTCGAACCATGGTTGCCAGGTGGCAGTCCAGGAACTTAACCTCTACACCATCTGCTGGCCCCACTGAGTCCATTTTTAAATATTAATAGCAGCAGTCATGTTATTTGGAGGACAGTTATTAAGTCATGCATTTATTTATCTTTCTCTCTGGATTAGCTTTTAATTTTTAAAAAAAGATTTATTTATTTATCTATTTAGTTGTGATTTTCAAGCCACCAGGCCCAGGACTTGAACAGTGGTCAGCCATGGTGGAATTCAACACCTTAACCGCCATACCACCTGCTGGCTCCACGTTATAATAATAATTATTTTTTTAAGAGGTTTTTACTACAGGTCTCGTGTGCTTCACCAGACAGACAGAGACAGACAGAGAGATAGAAAGAGAGAAATCACCCCCCCAGGGGCGATGGCCACGCCACAGTCCCTTCTCCTCCATTCTCCTCTCGGGATCTTGGGCACGCACGCACACACACCCGGCGTGAGTTTTAAGCCACCGGGTCTGGGACGCGAACCATGGTCAACTACATGGGAGTCCAGTGACATAGCCATTACACTAACTGCTGGTCTCTGTAATTATTTTTTTAATTTTAGATTCTAAGTTTTAAGAGTACAAAGCCCATGTCTGTGTCTCTAGCACAGTACGATGCCTGTAACAAGTTTAAGTAGCTCATGTGTGAATTAAAAAGAAAGTCTAGGGCCAGCAGGTGGTATATTGTCAAGGCAGCTGGATCCTTATGACCCACTACATGGTTTGAGTCCCAGACCTGGTGGTTTGAAAAATAATGCTGGATGCATGAGAGATTGTGCTCAAAATCCACAGAAGAGTGGAGATGGGGCTGCAGTGGTACTTTCTCACATTCTCTCCGCCCCCCCTGCCTTTCTCCAGCAAGTACACATGCCCTATAACAAACTAAAAATAAAAAAGAACAGTTTACTTAGCTTTTTACTGCATGCTTTAATAAAACTTGATTTTCATTTTTCTTTGATAATCCAGCAAAGCGTAGAAGATTTTCCTCAAAACCAGTTATCCTCACAGAAGCCCAGAAACAACTTACGATATGCCACCTGCCTCAGGTCCTCAGACTGCACCTCAAACGGTTCAGGTTAGTCATAGTCCTAGCTCGTTGCCGGCTGTGCACCCCTACCCTGGTCATCCTTCGTGCTCACGATGCCTGAAAACTTAGAGAACACGTGATGAATTAAATTTGAAAACCATATACTTAGCTAGGAAATGGTGTACTGTTTACTTTGTTTTGGGAAAAAATGGTGGTTCTTGTCTTCAGCCTTGAACAGCATGTACCATCCGCAATGTTTTGTTAGCTTCCCTTGTGGAATGCATTCCTAATCAGTGAATCCCTCACATCTCGGTCTTGCTGAGTGGTACTGTTCTCTCTGTGTATTTAATTCTGCATAATGTAATATTCAGCATATTTAAGGCATAACACGTTTCATTTCTTCTATAGCTTGATTATTTTACTCCATTTCTTTGCCCTTGGATAGCATTGGTATTTGATCCAAAAGTACAGCAATTCAACTCAAAGTGTAAGAAACAAAATGGGACCAGCAGGTGGTGTGGAGGTTAAGGCACTGGACTCTCACATGGCAGACTGTGGTTCGAGTTCTGAACCTGGCGGCTTGGAAATCACTCCAGGTGCATATGCATGTATGCCCAAAATCCTGAGAAGAGAATGGAGGAGAAGGAATTGTGGTATGGCCATTTCCCCTTAGGAGATGATTTCTCATTTTCTCTTTTTTGTCTCTCTCTGGGGAATGTATGCACCCTATGCAAAAAAGAAAAGAAGAAAAGAAACTAAAAAAAAGAAACTGTAGGTACCAGCAGATGATGTAATGGATGTGTCGCTGGACTCCCACATAGTCGAGCACAGTTCGAGTCCCGGACCCAGTGGCTTAAAACTCACGCCAGGTGTGTGTGTGTGCTTGCCCCAAATCCTGAGAGCGGAAGGGATTGAGTCGTGGCCATCCTCCCTTGGAGGTGATTTCTTGCTGTCTCTCTCTGTCTCTCCGGCAAGCACAAGTGCCCTATAGCAAAAATTGCTCTCTAAAAAGAAGACAAAACTATAGTCGTCTGAAATGCACCTTCTGTTTTAGGTGAGGTAATTGCCCATCTGTTGGTTAATCGAAACAGATGCTTTTGTACTTTGCATGAACCATGTTAACCTGAGGGGCTGTTGTTCTTTGAAGGAATGAACCCTGTTGAAAAAGCTACTTCACGTGCTGTGATCTGAAAGCTATCCAGACCGTGTTTCTTATACATACTAGTAATTGCTATTTGCCTTAATAATGAACTTCTAAAAAAATTCAAGTACCAGAGAAGGTAAAGATAAAGTACTCTTTCCTCTCGGTGCCCTTCCCACCAAAGATAATCACTGTTCATTTCAGTCATTCACTTATTGACTGTAACTGTACAATCAGCAAATATCATCTGAATGCTTTTTAATGCAGGAGGATGTTCTGTTTCTTTGCAGAATGTAGAATAAGACCCTTTTTCAGTATTATAGTCCTGCACACACAGAAATAATGGTGAAGGAGAAAAACTAAGCATAGCCAACGATATACACATGTTGATCAGTTTTAAGGAAGGAGCTATCTGATACCTAAAACTTTTCTAGTCTCTGATGACACATGGCTCTGTCCATTGACGTCAGTTCATACGTCGTGTCTTTAGAGAGGACTTCTCTGACTACCCGCTTTTTTGGCTGTTGGACAGGGCACATGCTTTTACCAGAGAGAGAGAGAGAGACTCAATGAGAGAGAAAGTGAAAAAGCATTCCCCAGAGGGGATGGCCACACCACAGTCATTTCTCCTCCATTTTCTTCTTGGGATTTTGGACATGCACACACACATGCCTGGTGTTTTGTTCAGTTTGCTGGATCTAGGACTCAAACCACACAAATAACCATGTGGGATTCAGCTCCTTAACCTCTAGCCACCAGCTGGCCCCTAACTATCCTATTTTAAATTAGCACCACCCAACATTCAGTATCATATAACCGTACTTTGCTTTAACCACATGAACTGTTATTTGCAATTAAGTAGCTTATTTACTAATCTTCTGACAGTGGAACAGAAACTCAGTAATGACTTATGCTTTTCATCCCTGTGTCTCAAAGCCCAGAATTGTGCTAAAGGTGTACTAGATGTCCAGAAGTATTTGTAAAGGCAGAATTAATGGACTTAAATTTTTGTCACTTAAATTGGTACTCAACTGGCTACTATTAGCAACTGAGGAACTTCTGTTCTTCATAATTAAGACTTTAGTGCTACAAGTACCATTTAAATCTAACATTTGAAGCTCTCCTTACCCTTATGGCTCTTACCTCCTTCCATCTACTGCCCAAAACATTTTAACTCTTTATGCTCTTCCTGGTTCCAGAAATGCTACGCTCTTTTTACCACAGGTCGAAAGCTCAGTCAGTCCAAGGGTGCCTCCCACTTCTGTCACCAATCTTAAAATTCAGGCTTCTGGAACTTCTGACCGACCAGCTATACATGGGGGTTACTGTGACTGTCCTCCTCCTTGGGTTCAGTTAATTTACTAGAGGCTCTTAGAACTCAGGGGAACACGCATGTCCACCCGTTGGCGACAAGTGATCATTTGAGGGATACAAATGAATAGCCAGATGAAAGAGATGGATAGGGCGAGGCATGCGGGAAGAGGTTCAGAGTGTCATATCCTTCCCGGGTACACTGCCCTCCGGGAATCTCCACGTATTCAGCAAAATGGAAGTTCCCTAAATCCAGGGGATTTGTTTAAATGTAGGCATGGCTGATTGATACCATTTGACACTGTACTGAGTATTTTCGCATTTATTTTCTTCCCTTTATAGCATTTGTCTATATCGCATTTTCCCTTCTCTGTCATTTGTCCGACCCTCATGTTTTGATACTGTAATACTGTTAAGTTTTTATGCATGTCAGTCCCTGTGTCTATACCACGCTACCCCTAAACAGGATGACAATCTTCTGAAAGAACTTGTGTGTCATTTTTCATAAATGTACACGGTGGCTGGCCATGCTTACATCCAACAGTAAGAAGCATGACCAACAGACTGAGAAGATGACGGAGCGAGGGTGTTGGGCTCGGTCTCAGTGGCGTCATGGTTATTTACATACAGGAAGGGTCACAGTTTCTGTTTTATTTTTTCAAGGCTCTTAAGTGTTCTGAGGAATTATAGGTACCTGGTTTGTTTTGCATTGTTTTTTCCTCTATACGTTACCAAGAAAGATCCAGATTGTTTCTATCTGGGATACCCTCTTCAGACATTGTCAAGGCTGTGAAGAATTAAGAACTCTTTGGGGGGAGGGGCCAGAAGGTGGCATAGAGGTTAAGGTGCTGGGCTCCCACGTAGTCAACCATGGTTCGAGTCCCTGACCCTGCAGCTTGGAACTCACACCAGGCACGTGTGTACACATGACCAAAATCCCAAGGAGAATGAATAAGAAGGGATTGCAGTGTGGCTATCATCAGGGGTGGTGTTGGGATAATTTCTTGCTTCAAGCACACATGCACTATAGCAAAAATCTCTTAAAAAAAAAAAAAGAAAAATCTTGGGGGCCTTGCCTTTCTTTGATCAGTTAGAGGAAAATGTCTGTAAAGCTCTAATTTTCTTCTCTAAAAGTTTGTTTCTTCCTATATTATCATGTAACAACAGAAGCCAAATATTTATTTTAAAACCGGACTGGACCTGTTTGGTAAATAAGTCTAAATCACTCCATTTATAGCCAGCCTCAACCCTGTAAGGATTTTATGATTATTATACATGATACTCTGTATTCTATACATCTCTGGGGTCTTCTACTAATGTAACTGTCTGGATCCAGTACATGGGTTTTTCCCTTGTTTTTGATAAGTTTACTCTGGTTTGGTCTCAGGTGGTCAGGACGTAATAACCGAGAGAAGATTGGTGTTCACGTTGGCTTTGAGGAAATCTTAAACATGGAGCCCTATTGCTACAGGGAGACTTTGAACTCCCTCAGACCAGAATGCTTCATCTATGACTTATCTGCTGTAGTAATGCACCACGGGAAAGGATTTGGCTCTGGACACTACACTGCCTACTGCTACAATTCTGAAGGAGGTATTCAGAGGACAAATGATTTATCTTGGGCGAGTGGTCTTTAGGTTGACGATGGAATCGCCTAAAGCAAAGCCTCTTGACCAATGTTTATGTCTAGAAGAATGCTTCCGTGTAACTACTGGTAGAGGAGGAGGGAAGGGGGTTATGCAGACAGCACAACGTTTAATTTTTTGCAGGTTTGTGGTACTTTGGCTATTGAAGGGCTATAGGGGTGAGATGAGGATAATTTTGTTAATGAAAAGAGTAAGGGCATACTTCCAAGAGCAGGTTCCGTTTTTTACTGGTTTATTTCAGTTCATTCTGTTAAAGAATGGCATCTAATGAACTGGGGAGGAAGGTGGGTGAGGATCACAGATACCTAGAACAAACTTCTGAATCAAATTTCACATACAAAACTCACTTTCATTTGCTGCTTCTTTTTTTTTTTTTTTTTGGAGAGATTTTCACTGTAGGGTGCGTGCGCTCACCACACAAGACAGAGAGAGACACAGAGACAGAAAGCGAGAAATCACCCCCCAGGGGGGATGGTCACGCCGCAATCCCTTCTCCTCCATTCTCCTCTCGGGATCTTGGGCACGCACGCACACGCACCCAGCGTGAGTTTTAAGCCACCGGGTCCGGGACACGAACCGCGGTCGACTACGTGGGAGTCCAGCGACATAGCCATTACGCTAACTGCTGGTTCCCTCATTTGCTTCTTCTATGGGCCCTTCCAGGACATTCGAGTCCTAGCAAAGGGATTAGATTGAGGTTTCACTTTTGTATTTTCCCTTTGGTGTACCTATTGTTAACACAGAATGAATCACCATCCCCTCAAACCCCTCCACCAACAAGCCAACAGCACATGTGGTCAGGCAGCCCAGATAATCCATAAAGGCAGTTGATACGGACCTACCGGTCATTAGTTGTACACTACTTGCCTTATAATATTAGCGGCAAAAGCATTAACTGGTAGATTTACACCAGATATAGTGGCAGATAGTCTGATTCTCTCAGATTTAGTAACTTCAAAACTTCTAGAGGGACCAGCAGTTGGCGTAATGGCTATGTCGCTGGACTCCCACGTAGTCGACCACGGTTCACGTCCTGGACCCAGTGGCTTAAACTCACACTGGGCGCATGTGCATGCGTGCCCAAGATCCTGAGAGGAGAATGGAGGAGAAGGGATTGCGGTGTGGCTATCCCCCCTGGGGGGTGATTTCTCGCTTTCTATCTCTCTGTCTCTCTCTCTCTCTGTCTGGAGAGCACATGCACCCTATAGCAAAAACCTCTCCAAAAAAAAAAAAAAAAACCTTCTAGGGCCAGCTCTGTGGCCAGGTGGTTGAGGTAGCCGGATCCCACACAGCTGACCAGTTTGAGTCCGGCAGCTTAAAAGAACTCACCAGATGTGTGTTCACGTGCGCAGGAAATCTCCAAAGGAGAAAGAGAAGTGAATGGATTGTGGTGTGACCATTCCCCATGAAGCGGTACTATATCAAAAACGGAGGCCTTTTTTCCCGTCTGGCAAGCACACACAGCCGCTAGCTCAAAAACATCATCTAGAATAAAAGGCAAATCATTTCCGAGTAACTTAATGCCCAAGCTGTACTTCTTACTGAAGAGAAAGAAAATTGGCTAGAAATTTACCCCTTTAGAAAAATGTACCTCACTGAAATTCAACGGCTTTTATACAGCAGTCCCTTTTCTCTGAAGGGGCTAAGGTTTCAGGACCCCCGAGTGTGCCCGGAACTGAACCAAATCTATATACACCACGTGTCTTACTACACACATATACCTATGATAGTTTAATTAGGCATCGTAGGAAATAAACAGAAAGTAAAATAGAAAACTGTAACAGCACATTGTAATGAAAGTTCCATGAATGTGGTCTCTCACCCTTCCTGTGAGGACAGATGAGAAGGCGAGGTGTGTGAGGGCATTACGACACAGCCGTGAGGCTGCTTCTGCCGTGTCGGGAGGACCCAGTGAATATTTCTGCACCACAGTCGACTATAGGCAACCTCAGAGAGCAAAACTGTGCGGTGAGGGGCAGGCGGGTGCTGCACTGGCAATGTCTCCGTTCTTTTATAACCACCGTGTTTCTGTGCTCCCCTCCAGGGTTCTGGGTCCACTGCAATGATTCCAAGCTAAGCATGTGCACTGTGGATGAAGTGCGCAAGGCTCACGCCTACATCCTGTTCTATACCCAGCGCGTTACCGAGAACGGACAGTCTGATCTCCTGGCTCCGGAGCTTCTGTCAGGCAGCCACCATCCCAGTGAAGAAACCGATACCTCTAACGAGATCCTCAGCTGATCCCAGGACAGTGGGGTTTCTTGTGGTTTGTATATATCATTTTTAAAAGGGCCGACGTGTTAAGTTTGAGCCTCATGGTTTTAATTTTTTTACTTATGAATCAGGGCACACTACCTTTATACGTTTCGTATCTAACGACAACAAAACTTTTTTACAGAGACAACATATATGTAGATCAACTGCAGGTAACAAAGTTGTTTCAGGTACTTGAAGTTTTAAATGTTTTGTTTACCTCCGACTGCTGTTAATCTTTTTTATATCTATCCTGCTACCTTGTCTCAGATCATGAATTTGTGCAATCTTCCACTGAACTGCAGGTGGCATCATTTTATATGCATTTGTTACTTATTTTTTGTAGCTCTTTTCTACAGAAATTCTTGGATGAAAAATTAGATATTTTCTTCACTGATAGTCTTACCAAAAGGGGGGAGGGGTGCCTGTTCTGTGCCATTTGTATGTTGAAAGTCATTTGCCCCTCGGAGAGAATTAAAGTGGTACAACGTCAACTAGCAAGGTATTATGTACTCCTCAGTCACTCGATATTCCCGAGGCTTTGTGTTAACGGGGCTCAGAATAGACATTATTTCTGTTCATGGAACTTCACTTAAAAAAATTTTTTTTCAATAACTATTTATTTGGTATAGTGATACTATCTAGTTGAAAATTGCTGCTTTATATTTAAGTGAACTTCAGAACTGTGGACATGAAAGAAGCGATGGCTGGGACTTATATAATTATCTGGTAGCAAACAGGTGTGTACAGATTCTGATAAAGCAGTCATAAAATATTTGAGTTGTACAAACTATTATACAAATAGTTTATATTGGGTATGAATTTTTATGTTTGATAACATTAGATCTCATAAAAGCTTTGGATAACTTGAGACTTTTAGTTCAAATGAATTTTTTTTTTAAAGTCGAGAGAAAAATTGCATAGGGCAGAGAAGATAATTGTTCAAAATTGGCAATTTGTATGTCTAGTATCTCATCTTTCTAAATAACTAAAACCTGGATTATTTACTCTTGCTAGAATTATGTGATTACTAGGAGCTTCTTAGATAAATACTGGGTCCTGGCATTTTTTTCAAAAGCATTGAACATTTTCTAAACTTGTATTTTTAAAGTGAGAACACTCTGCCCCCCACCCCCCTTAATCTTAACAGATCTCTAAAGAGTACTACCGCTGCTAACTTAATCTTGTTCAGAAAGGGGAGGAGTCTATTGACCTGTAGATCAGCTATGTAAGTAAGATCTTAAGCTTAGAGTTAGCCACTCAAGATCAGATAGCCTTTTAAGTGGATTTATTTACAGGTTGAAATCTCAGTAAAATATAATATCCTGTACAATGCTGTGCACCATTAGTGATCATCTTTAAGTACAAATTTAAAGGGACTTCTATTAGCAAATTTTTAAATTAACTTAGAAAACAAATCATTTAGGGCAGCTGACAGTGAGTTCAACAGTGAGTTCAACAAGACTGTATCACTGGACAGACAAATCAACTGTGCCAAAAATACAGCTGGATTATTAAATGGCTGGGTGTAAAATTGTTATTATTGTTAATACACACCTATGCAAGTTGTTACCTTTACCTCAACTGTTACGTGCTTATACCTCATTAAAGATTTATGTGGTCAAGATACCTTGAGTTCTAGCCTTTTTAATTCTAAGGACTGCTACTAAAATGTGTTACATTTTAACACCTAATTTTAATGGTTGTCCAACTCTTGAAGCTATGTTGTTTTAATATTATCTGCTTATATTAAACTCAGTGTAAAAGTATATGGGAAGTAAGGTGGTTTAACTTCATCTCATCTCATCTCATAGGCTTTTACTATAGGGTACATGGATTTGCCAGAGTGAGAAACCCCCTAGAGGTGATGGTTACACCACAATCCCTTCTCCTCGCAGGATTTTGAGCACACATGCACATGCGGCCTGGTGGGATTTCCAAGTCGCTGGGTTTAGGACTCAAACTGTAGTCAGCCATGTGGGCTCCAGTTTAGCCCTCTTTAATCCGTGAACACTAACATCCATGGAGACTTCTGGTGGGTGGATTGGGGGGTGGTCATTAGATATATGGGAAATCTACAGTACTTGCCACCAAAATTTGGTATGGTCCTAAAACTGCTCTGAAGTCTTAAGATGCCAACAAAAAACTTAACACCTGGGGGCCAGCAGGTGGCGTAGTGGTTAGGGGGGCTGGACTCCCACATGGCCCAATGTGGTTTGAGTCCCAGATCTGGCAGCTGACTTTCTTGCTTTCCCTCTTTCAATCTCTCTCACTGTCCTTCTCTAGTCAAATTAAACAATAAGTGAATAAAAGTTAAATAAAACTTAAAAAAACTAAAACCTAAACAATGAACACAAACTTAATTTCTTACTTTATACTAAATCTCAACAGATATTTCTACATTCTGCTAAGTTAATCTAACAAAATACAACATGTTTCGGTTGTAAAATAATTTACTAAAGGCACTATTGTTAAACATCAAACTAATAATGATTCATTACCAATAAGGTACATCATTGTAAACATAACATAGTGACTTCGAGATACATGACTAATAGGCAGACGGTACAACTGTAAGAGACTGCTTCCCTCTTCACATGATCTTACCCCCTCTAGCCCTTCCAGGGGCGTACGTGATGCCACTGTTCTCAACAGTTACCTAGAAGGGAGCCTGGAGCTCAGAAAGTGTTTGAGATCACTGCTGTGGAAGAGGTCTCACAAAGCTCCAAAATTCTTCACTCCATCGGGGGTCGATGCTCAAATTCCTGGGTTCAGATACCAAGATGTTTCATACTTCCCACCAAAGCACATACAGAAGTAAAGACTTAAAACCCTGAAGGAGCCATCTGGAAGACCCAACTCCTCTCTGTTCAGGTGTGAACTGGCAAGCTCTACCACTAGCACATCACAGGAAATGGAGGTTATTCTAACACAGTTACGTAACATTAGCACCATAATAAAAGCTTGTATCTAGAAACTAGATGGTTTTCCCCACAAGGTGACATTAATTTATAGCTCAGATGCTCAAAGAGCAGCTTTTTAACAAATGATCTAGGCACAAAAGTCAGGTTTCTCTTCCAGAGAGTAAAACATTAAACAAAATACAAACTAAACAGCATCCCAGAGGCAATAAAACCTTGCCCTAAAGCATATACAAATTAAGGCTTTCCCTTGGTACATAACAATTTTGAAATTATGTTGGAACATTCCCAATAAAACATTTACAGATAGGAATTTATGCAGTTTGTTAAAAGAATCAGTAGTGGGGCTCAGTTGAAACACAGTATGAATCGTCACACTCAAAACACTTAGATGATCTAAGGAGTAACTATAAGCTAGGCTCCCCTGCTGAAATACCAATCTCATGGCTGAGTCCAAGCCAGCCAGGGGCCAGATGTTACAGCATAAGGTTTGCTAGTGAAAAATCCAAATAATTGCAATTTAATCTAACTAGAACAAGATCCAAACATGGGAAGTTTGCCTGTTGTTGGATTTGTGGTTTTAATACCCTTTTTGGTTTCTAGGGTTTTCTGGGTTTTTTTTTTTTTTTTTTTTTTGAGGGGTTTTTGATATAGGGCACATGTGCTCACCAGAGAGACAATAGAGACAGCAAGAATCCACCCGCCAGCGGGGATGGCCACACTGCAACCCCTTCTCCATTCTCCTCTCAGGATCTTGGGCATGCACGCACACACACCCAGCATGAGTTTAATCACTGGGTCTGGGACTTGAATCGTGGTCAACTACATAGGAGACCAGTGACATAGCCATTTAGCCATTTATTGGCCCCATAGGGTTTTGGTATTTTTTTTTTTTTAAGGTTTTTATCATACGGTGCATGTTTACCAGAGAAAACAGTGAGTGGGAAAGTGAGAAATCACCCCCGGGGAGGATAGCCACACCACAATTCCTTCCCCACCTGGGATTCTGGATACGCACACACATATACCCGACATGATTTTAAAGTCACCAGGTCCGGGACTTGAATTGTGGTAGGCCAAAGGGAGCCCAGTGCCATAACCACTATATTGCCCTACTGTCCCCTTTAGTTTTTTAGTAAGCTGAATATATTTGATAAATCCTATCAGTGAACAAAGGATCTAAATGAGGTGTTTTTTTTTTTTAAACTAAAATAAGGCTTCAAGTTGGCACAAGGTTCCTAAGTCACATTTGAGTAAGTAGTACAACTTTTCAATACTGAGGAAAAAAATGAAAGGGAGTAATATGTTCCTGAAAAGCAAGGCAAAATATTCCTAAAGCTGCATGTTAATTTATGAAAAGAGGACTGTCCCACTTTATGCATGTATAGATCTTGTCTTAGTCATTATGCCAAAGAACATCTCAGTACAGAGGTCTACAATCCAGCTAAAAGGCTCTACATTTTTCTATATCAAAATCAGCTACTTTCTATCCTGAATTATAACCACAGACATTGAAATGTAGCTCTCAGATCTGAAAATGTCTTTATTTTTTAGAAAATGGATTCCAGGAAGGTTAAAAAGCAATACCAGAGGGCATAGGTGCAGAATTGGATGTAGTCATTCAAAGCATTCAAGTAAGAATATGGCAATATAAATATCTGAAAAGCATCTCTTCGGTGTTTGAAACAAATGTGTAAGTCATTCCTAACTAATCTGAGCTTTATAGCATTTCCTGGGGGCTGGGGTTGGGGTACAGTTAACATCTGAAAGTCCTGAAAGCTTTTTCCTGGGTTAATGACATTAGATGGTTTGCCTTTGATCGAATTCTTTTTAAAACATGGATATAAAAATTACATAGGTCCACTGTTAAAACAGACAAAATGTTGCAAATTAATTCTGGTATAATGTATTCCAACAAAGCTTAGAAAATAAAGATGCTGAAATGGCTTTGGACTAAGTTTAATAGTCATCTCCTCTGCTGACAACTTCTTTACATGTTGGACGCAACAGTATGGTGTGCTCAAACTGTGCTGTATATGATCCTTTAATGTCACACAATGGTGGGTATGGATCTACAATGCCCAAGTCACACAGATTCTTCAGAGCCATCAAGTATTTGCTTTCTCCCAAGCGATCCAGCCATCTTCGGCAGAAGGCAAGGGTGCCAAAGTTTTCATTGATGACATTTAACAAGTGTTTTGTTCGTGGAAGCCTAAGGAGAAAATCCAAAGTTAGTAGTTGGCAAGAGTCACCGGTTCATTTCCCCCACTAAGAATAACCCAAACCTCAGCTGTGTCTTTGCTTAGTAATTAAAGTATAAAACTGGTTATTAATGTTTAAAATCAAAAGATAGAATGTATAACAGCCCATATCTGACTGTACAGACAGTAGCACTAAATTTACTATGAATCCTTTTGCTTCAGCATCCTGAGTAGGTGGGATTACAGGCATGCACCTCCATGCCTGGTCCTTCGGTTAAAATTTCTTAACTGGCTAATATTTTTTTGCTATATTACAAAAACCATAAAACTTCCTGCTAGGCTACAGAGTTGTATATTTATGAATGTACCACCCTGTATGCTTGTCACATTTCAAAAAGGTTGTTAACTGGAAGAGACATTCCATTAGTCATTTAGAAGGAAAAACAAAAAACACCCCCACAACATTCTCTCACCTTATTGGCACATGTCCAACATCGAAATTTTTCATGTAATGTGAACATTCCATATCATCGTGAACAATATCTTTTCCTGTACTACCAAAGGTTTCAATGGCATATACTTCTCCTTCCTTAAAAAAATACATAAAAGTCAAGGGGAGAGAAGAACATTTTAGATCCAATCACAATCACCACCTCTTGCCCTCACTACCTCATGTCAGTATCTCCTTGCAGGTCTTAATCACCATCTCTGCTTCCTCTCCTCGGCACTTTTTGGTCTCCCAGCATCCCCCATTAGAATGCAGGTTTTACCTGGGCAGGGATTTCGCACTGTTCACTGCCATATGCTCAGTGACTCCTAACAAAACCGGCACCTAGGAGGTGCACAGTAAATACCAACTGCTGAATGAACAGTCCTGACAGCCCCGATTTCCATAGCTGACTGAGCCCTGGACTGACCAGATGCAGTTTGCGGTTACACAGCCCGATTCTGACTGGGGGAGGCATAGATGGTGAGCTACTTTTGATAAACAGTCTATATACTTAAAATACCATCAGCCTGTCAGGACGGAAAAGGGCACAGTGCTCTTCCCAAAGTGTTAATGACACACAAACCTCCATTCTGGTTGCCTCGCCTCCCTTCACAATGGGCACCGTTTTCCCAGCATGTATTCGGTACTGCCCGATTGAGTGTCCATTAAGATTGCGGATTGGTTTCACTGTCACGATAAATAAAATAGAAGTTATTCTGGGTCCTTAGAAGTACAAACAGTTCCCTTGGGTTTTTTTGGTTTAGAGTTCAAATAGTTTTCAAAAACTAGACAAGCTCTATGAAATAACTTCATATTGCAGTAATTATAAGCTGAAATCTAGTGACATATGTAAAGTAGTTTTACTACAGTGCTGTTGACTGACTACTAGAAGGGAGTAAGGGGAGAAAGAAAAAGGATGATAGGATAATGACACAACAGGGGTCACCTAAAGAGGTATTATTTTTTATTGCCAAAAGGTGTGTGCACTCACAGGGCCCACCCCATTCCTGCCCTCTATTGCTTTCAGAGTTATCTGCCCTTAAAGTGTAAATCCTGAATAATTCCAAATTGTGAGGAGATCTCATTTCCAAAGTGCCATTCCAAAGAGAGACCTGCGGCTCTGGAAACATACTTTATCCTTGCCTGATCCCCCCATTTGTTCAGCATGGAATTAGGACAGAGGCAGTCTGAGATTCTGGGTCTTTGCCTACAGTTAGCTTTAGGAAGTACTCGTGACATTGGAGGTATTTAGACAATAGTACTAGACAGAAAATGGCAACTTCTACAGTCAGAAAGTATACGGGAAATTAGAAGGAAGTCATTATTGGCTGGGCTGGATTAGGATGGCGGTGGAGGTCAGATGTCTTCCTTGCCCTAACCATAACGTCAATGTAATAACTAACTGTGTAACTAAAGGATTCATGGCTGTCACCCCGCTAGATGCTGAGGTCTTCTCAGCTCTGTATCTGTAGCAGGTGGCATCAATATAGATAGGTGGGGAGAGAAAGGGGAGAAGGAGAAAGTATGCCTCAATAGGCCCCGGTCATGCCACACTTCCCTCCATTTCTCCCTCTCCTCAGCATTTTGGGTACACACAGCGCCAACATGCTTTTCAAGCTACCAAGTCTGGTGGTTAAACCACTGTAGGCCATATGTGATCCATAGGCACAGCACTTAACCGCTACGCTATAGGGATGGCTCAAGAGTCATCTGTAAAAACTTAAATCCATAAAAAAAATTACTGTGTTCAGCAATGACCATGAATATGAAATATGTGTACTTGTGGAGAAATAGACCAAAAGAATGAGAATACTGTATCAAAATGATAGTATATTATGAAATCTTCAATTCTATTATTACATCAATGATTTAAATGCTGAAAAACAAAATCTGAATCCCATTATCCTGAATTCGATGACAGAATAGTCAAACTGTGGCAAATTCACACAGTGGAATACTACTCAACAATAAAAAGAAAAACTAGGGATACATTTGGCTAGAATAAAGCCTAGAGATACAATGAGCAAAAGTGCACAATTACATACATCCTGTATAATACTCTATACATGCAAGGACTTCAAAAGGTTCAAGGAGAAATGGAATTAAAGTACAAGTTTATTTTAGTGCAAAAAAATTTTGTAATCCATGCAGTTTTCCCACGATACACACTTTCCATGAACCTTTGAAGACCCTTCATAAATGGTTCAAAATGGAACATAATTAAACCACTGTTTAAGGATGCATAACTAGGTATATGAAGACAAAAAGAAAAAAATGCAAACACTTCAATACTCAAGATAGGGGTTCACTAGAGGAAGGCTGCTGTGTCTGGAAAAATGGATCTGGGTTCTACGGGTTCAACTTGCTGCAAAAGGGACTCTCAAGTGGTGGTGTTGGGGGGGGGTGGAGCCTAATGGGAGGTGCCTGGGTCATTTGGCACTGCCCTCTTGAATGGATTAATGTTGTTATCATGACAATGGGTTCTGTTTTGGTCTTTTCATGTGTGCACACAAGCAGTCATGCACTCCCTCTCTCCCTATCTTGGCCCTTCTACCTTCTCCACAAAAAGATACAGAAAAAGAAGGCCTGGTTACTAGATGCTAATCCCTCAAATCTCGACCTTCCACAGAAATTTCTGTTCTTTACCAATTAACTTGGTCTCAGGGATGATGTCAAAGCAGCACATAATGAACTATAACAAGGTACTGTTGGGTTCTGAAATGTTGGTAACATTCTGTCCCTTGAGGGGTAAATGGGGAATGGTCAGATAGACCTGGGAGTTGGAGATGGGGTGGACTGATGGAGATGAATTCAAACAGCAGTACTCAACCTTCCCAGCACCAGGGATCAGCCTCAAGTAAAAAAAACAAAACAAAACAAAAAAAAAACCCTCTACAGACTGGAAGGAAGGGACGGGGGATTGGTCCTGGGATGCCTCGAGCACACCGCATCCACCATGCACACCCCCCGTTTCCACCACTACCACATGAATCGATCACTTAACAATAAGGCTCGCACTCCCACGAGAATCCAGTATTGCTCTGACAGGAGGAAGAGCACAGGTGGCAGCACAAGTGATGAGGAACTTCACTGCCCGCCTTCTGCTGCACAGCCCCAGACTGTCACCAGTCCACAGCACAGGGATTGGGGACCCCTGAATTGCAGCACCAGAAAGCACAGGTGACTCAGTCCCATGAGCCCGTCAACTATGCAGTTCTAGACACATGACTCAAAAAAAAAAAAAAAAAAAAAGGCCCGTGTGTGTGTGCCAAAGTGCCCAAAATCCCAAGAGGAGAAGTAACTGTAGCCTGGCCGCCTCCCCCATGAGGTGCTTTCTCATTTTGCTCCCTCCCTCTCCAGTAAGCATACCTGCTCTACAGCCAAAGAAACACCCCCCCCCCAAAAAAAAACACACCTTGATATGTCTTCCCATCTATTTCAACTTCATAGGATTCCATAACTTCTTGAATGGCCTCACCAACATCACATAAACGAACATCAATTCCAGCACACTATTAAAAAAAGTACACTTTGTTATTCGAGGTACAAAATTTTATGGCAACTTTTTAATATTTTTAAACAGGCTATCAGAACACTGCTCTGTACTTTAAGTTTTCTGAACTTTGGGGAGGATTTTAGGAAGATGGTAGAGTAGGAAACACAAGGAATCTGATCTCGCAGCTGGATAACCCCTGCTATGGCAGAATCTGTCAAATCTATCAGTATGTGGGAAGTCGGCAGTATTTGAAGGCTTGCTACATCCAGGGCAAGGACTGGCTTGACAGTAAAAGGCACTGAACTGTAACCAATCCTAGCTCTCTGCACAGCAACAGTGACCCACCCCCATCACACAAGCTCCATGGCAAGACTGACCCTGGTGCAAGCTGCATACAGTTCATGGGGGCCAGGGAGGAGCAAAAAGAAGCTGCCCTGAACATCAAGGATGTGTGCTCTGGTGTGTGACTGCTGCTCTGGTCACTACAGGTATAGGTGAAGTGGGGCAGCACACTGTTAGCGTCCACTCATTACTGCAAACCCTACCCTTCTGGCTGATTTAAAGGAACAGTTTCCCTCTCTCCATTTTCTTTTTTTTAAATTTCCTCTCTTTTGGGAGCCAGACATTAAAAACCAGGACACTTAGGGACCAGCAGATGGTGTAATGGTTATGTTGCTGGACTCACACGTAGCCAACTGCAGTTCAAGTCTTGGACCTGGCAGCTTGAAATACACACATATGTGTGCGTGCCCAAAACCCCAAAAAGAGAAGAGAGAAGGGACTGTGATGTGGCCATCTCCCCTGGGGGGTAGGGTAGGGTGATTTCTCACTTTCTGTCTCTGTCTCTCTGGTGAGCACACATGCCAATAGCAAAAATTATCTATCTAAAAAAGAAAAAAAAAATCAGGACATTTTAAACAAGTGCACATGCACCGAGATCTTGTAGATGAGAATTTTACAGACTTAAATAGAAATAGTAGGACCTCCAGACACACCATATGAAAGAGCAAGATATCAACTAGATATAAAAATACCAGAAATGTATGTTTAATCCCCATACGGTCTGGTTTATCACTAAAATATGGCATCCTAATGTTAGTTCTGTCACAGGGACTATTTGTTTGGATATCCTGGAAGATCAATGACTCTGCACGGTATTACTATCACTGCAAGCACTAATGGCAGCTGCAGAACCAGATGACCCACGAGATACGGTAGTTGCACATCAGTACAAACCAAATCCCGAAATGTTCAAACAGACAGCTCGACTTATGCTGGAGCACCAGTTTCTAGTTCAGAACATACCAAAAAAAACAGAAAACCTACATGCTATGGGCTTTGATAGGAATGCACCAATTGTGGTGGTGTTTTCAAAATCTTGAGATGCAGAGACAGAATTGCTTCTGGTGCTGGACTCACACACAGTCAACCGTGGTTCGAGTTTTAGATCCGGCAGCTTAAACTCACGCCAGGGGCAAGTGTGTGCATGTCCAAGATCCCACGATGAGAATGGACTGGGGCATGGCCATCCACCTGGGGGTGATTTCTTTCTGGTGAGCGCACAAGCCCTAACGGCAAAAAAACCTCTCTTAAAAAAAAATTGCGGGACCAGCAGTTACGGCTATGTCACTGGACTCCCACGTAGTCGACCGTGGTTTGCGTCCCGGACCCAGTGGCTTAAACTCATGCCAGAAACGTGTGCGTGCATGCCCAAGATCCCGAGAGGAGAATGGAGGAGGAGGGATTGCGGCGTGACCATCCCCCCTGGGGGGTGATTTCTCGCTTTCTGTCTCTCTGTCTCTCTCGCGAGCGCACACGCCCTATAGTGAAAAACCTCTCAAAAAAAAAAAAAAAACCTGCTTTTGAGTAACTAACAGGCCTTAGAGTCGCTAATCTAGTCATGCTTGACCCTTCTCGAGAAGCACCAACATCTGTTATTTTTAGGATTCAGCATAGATTTAAAATGGCATTCTTGCCTAATGATGCTATTTAGGCACCACTAGAGATCAAAAAATATATCCCCTGCTCTGTAAATAAAGCTAAGTAAACATCTGTATGAATTAAAAAAATAATAATAAAAAATAAAATCAAACAGTAAGGAAACCAGAAAACCCTGGTGAAGGGGTAGGATTCAATCTCCATAGTACCACATAAGATTCATTTTTCTTCTTTTTTAAAGAATTACTTTATTTTGGGGACCAGCAGTTAGCGTAATGGCTATGTCGCTGGACTCCCACATAGTCGATCGCGGTTCGCATCCCGGACCCGGTGGCTTAAACTCACGCCGGGCGCGTGTGCGTGCGTGCCCAAGATCCCGAGAGGAGAATGGAGAAGAGACTGTGGTGTGGCCATCCCCCCTGGGGGGTGATTTCTCGCTTTCTGTCTCTCTGTCTGTCTCTGTCTGGCGAGCGCATGTGCCCTATAGCAAAAACCTCTCAGAAAAAAAAAAAAAAAGAGGTAAAAAAAGAATTACTTTATTTTCTCTTCATTTTTATTTTTAAATTTGCTCAGCAACAGAGAGAGGGAAAGTGAGAAAGCAAGCTGCCAGGTCTAGGACTTGAACCACAGTCGGCCATGTGTAAGTCCAGCATCTCAACCATCACGCCACCCATCAATCCCCATATCAGATTATAATTCCCAGTTCTACAAAAAGTTATAAGGCATACAATGAAATAGGAAAGCACAGTCCATTTACAGAAAGGGGGGGAAGTCAACATTAACTAGCCCAGAAAAAGACCGGATGGCAGACCTATAAGGGGACTTGAGAAGTTCAAGGAAAAAATGGAACATTTTCAGTTCCTGGGTGTGGCTCAGGATCACCCTGAGGATGCCAGCCTGAGACCTGGGCTAGATAAAAATGGTGTGAAGACTCTGTTGGGAGTGCCTTATTTCTCTCTAATGCATTATCGTGGAAGAGGGAAATAAACTGAATTGAAGTATTCAGGTACGAAAAATTATTCTGGTACGAAAAAATTTTGAAATCCATGCATACTTTTTCATAATATACATTTTCATTTTAAAAAAGCTTTACTATTTTATTTAACTTTATTTATTTACTTATTTAATTTGACCAGAGAGGAGGGAAGAGAGAGAGAGAGAAAGTAAGAAAGCAAGCCACCAGGTCCAGGACTTGAACCACAGTCGGCCATGTGGGAGTCCAGTGCTCTTAACCACCACGCCACCTACCAGCCCCCATAATATACATTTTCTATAAACTTTCTGAAGGCCTCTTATACTAGACAAAGCTTTAAAACAATATTTAAAGATGCTCAGAAAAGGACTAGCAGTTGGCGCAATGGATATGTCACTGGACTCCCATGTAGTTGACTGCAGTTCAAGTCCTGGACCCAGTGGCTTAAACTCACGCTGGTGCGTGTGTGCATGTGCGTGTGCGTGTGTGTGTGTGTGTGTGCGCGCGCGCGCGCGCCCAAGATCCCGAGAGGAGAATGGAGAAGTGACTGCAATGTGGCCATTCCCCCCAGGGGCATGAATTCTCACTTTCTGTCCTTTCTTTCTCTCTGTCTTTCTGGCACGTGCACACGCCCTATAGCAAAAACCTCTCCAAAAAAAGAAAAAAAAAAAAAAGTATATCCAAACTGTTTAGTAAAGCTAAAGGGGGAAAAAGTTTTTGGGACAGTGGACCAGTCTTATCAACTTAACTATCTACAAACGTTAAAAAGGCTATAAAGTGGGGCCAGCAAGTGACATCGTGGTAAGGGTGCTAAACTCCCACACTGTCAACCATGGCTCGAGTACCAGATCTGGCTGTGTTTGGCCTCTCCCTCCCCCACCCCATGGTCAAATTAAAATAAAATTAAATAAAATCTTTAAAAAAAGTTATAAAGTAAATATACAAAATATGCTGAGTGAAGAGATGGTGAATTTACATACCTTTATTCCAGTATTAGTGGCATCTTTTACAGCTTTTAGTAATGTATCATATTTGGGATTAAAAGTGACAGTAAAAGCACAGTCAATAATCCTACCTGAAAAAGAAAATTCTTAAGATTACTCATTGGCTAATCAATTTATCTACTTTACAGCATTTCCTCTACTAACCTTGCTAGTTAACAGGAAAATCAAATGATGAGCTCAAATGAAGGCAGCACTCAGAGATAATTTATAATCAAAGAGGCAAAGGAGTAAAATAGACACAAATTTCAGGACGAAAAGAATTAGTGCACATATAAACGGAAACAAAATTAGAGCAAGAAAAAGAGTGGAAAAAAATAAGGAAAAGCAAATTGAAATGCAAATAAATAGGAAAACAGGGCCCTAAATACAGTGCTATTTCTCCCACTCAGTAAAACCTTAGGGTAAGTACTTAATCTTAAATTAACTTTCTCAAGCTTATTGAGATAACAATGTACTTTTGTTGGGGAGAAATCAGAAAAGCGAACTGTATATAAAGGTTGAGAGAAACTTAAAATGCTGGGAACCAGCAGTTAGTGTAATGGCTATGTCGCTGGACTCCCACGTAGTCGACTGTGGTTCACGTCCTGAACCTGGTGGCTTAAAACTCACGCCCGGCACGTGTGTGTACGTGCCCAGGATCCCAAGAGGAGAATGGAGAAGGGATTGCAGCGTGACCATCCCCCCTGGGGGGTGATTTCTCCCTTTCTGTCTCTTGTCTGTCTGGCGAGCGCACATGCCCTATAGCAAAAACCTCTCCAAAAAAAAAAAACTTAAAATGCTTTAAATAAATATTTGTCATTATTTGAATAAGTCATGTATGAAACAGTGACCTGAATTATATTTTATATGCTTTGATAGCAAGGTAATAGACCTCAATTACCCAACAGTTTTCACTTCATTCCACTTAGATGCTGCCAAGTAAATCTCCACATTTATCTCATACAGCTGTACTCAAAGTGAGGCAGCAAGAACAGACTTCAGGAGCCTGTAATTTAGTTCCACCTAACAGAGACAAAGTTAGAGTTTCCAGAGGGGAGGGTGGGACAGGAATTCGTTCCCCAAACTCACCATTTATATGTGTTCCGAAGTCTATCTTACAGATGTCATCATACTGTAATACTGTTGTGTCACCAGCATTGGGTGTATAATGGGCAGCACAGTTATTGAGAAAACACCCAGTAGGAAATGCCAGGCCTGCATCTAGCCCATTCTCTTTTATTAGCTTACGTGAACAGTCTTCCAACTTTTCACTAAAATAAAATAGAAAAGACTTTTTTACTTTCGCATTATTACTCTTATATATCTTTCAAGGTCAGAATGTCTAATAAAATTGGTAATTCCTTTCTGGGAATCATCTAAGCATTCTATGAATGTAAACAAGTAACAGTTTTCTAATGCTATGAAAATAACTCATCTCTGAAAAACAGGAATTTAATTCCACTAGAAAGCTAAAGAAAGCACACTTCACTCTTAAATTAGTTTAATAAATAAGTTTTGACTATTTAAATGCTGATTTTATTTGCTCGTATTGCATATTTTTAAAACTGAATTAGAAAACTGTCTTTTATACTAATCATTTCTCAAAGAAAAAAGAGAGAAAATGATTCCTTTTATTGGTTTCTTCACTGTATTATAATTATGTTTTCTGTCTAGACACTTATTCCCAGATTTTTTATTTCTTAATATGAATTGTTAGATAGCAAAATAACAGATTTCCAGACAGGAACTAAATATCAATTCCTGAGTGCAGGTGCACACCTGAGTGCAAATGCTGCACAAACGAGAGGGCTACCATGGACATGTGCTCCTCTTACAATCTCATCACAGTACGACAGAACCTCTACTTCAAGTTTTAGCAAAGTTGTAAAGAGAGCCAAACAGACAACTGGAGAGTTAGTACTGAAAAAAAATTTGTATCATGTTCTTACAAAAATGTATTCCTTTTACCAGATTTCTATCATTGTCATCCCAGGCTTGATCCAGCTCATAACGTATTTTCTAACTTGTCGATGTGCTTCTGCTGCTTCTCGAAAATCATTCCAAATCTCTTCACTAGCCTGATCTAATGCTTTCTTTTCTTCACTTGTAGTTCTCCAAGCAGCTGTGCGCCTTTATAGTAAGCAAGGCATAGTGTGTGTCATTTATAAAGGAGAAACAGGTAATACACTGAGCAAAATAAGACATTTCAGATAAAATGTATGCCAATAATTTCTGAGACATAATTAATCCGAATCAAGTTAAGCCTTTTAGAATAGTCTTTTGAGAAAAAAAAACTCAAATAAAATTTTATTCACAGACTACTACCCACTCGAAACAAAGAAGAGAACTAAAAAAGTCAGAAAAATGCCCTAGAAGCCAGATTTTCCTTCCACTTGGAGGAACTTCAAAAAGGTCTCAAAAAAATGGAATTAAAGTATGAGTTTATTCTGATGAAAAAAAATTGAAATCCATGCTATTTTTCAAAAAGAATTATTTAATTTTATTTATTCATTCATTCATTTTAATTTGACCAGCAAGAAGGGGGAAGGAGGGCGGGGGGACAAGAAAGCAAGTCACCAATTCTGGGACCTGAACTGTGGTCAGCCATGTGGGAGTGTCCAGCCTTAATCAATACACCATCAGCCGATCCCCATACTATTTAATACATATATTCCAGGAACTGTTTGAAGATTCCACTCATATCAAAAAGCACAATAAAAATTAGCATTTAATTTTGCCAGTGGTACTAGTTAAAAAGACCTGACCAGAAAACCACATATACTTTCCTTAAAGTATAACATTATGTGCTTGTGTTGGATTTTTCTAATTACATATATAAGCAGTAAAACTATCAGAGGAAACAAATAGGCTTTTACACTCAGTAACCTGGGAATTATATTTACTGACTCCCCCCCTTTTTAAAGATCTTATTTAACTTTATTTATTATTATTATCATTTTTAAATTATTTACTTAATTTTATTTATTCATTCATTTATTTTATTTTGGCCAGAGAGAGACAGAGAGAGAGAGAGAGACAAAGTGAGAAAGCAAGCCACCAGGTCCAGGACTCAAACCATGGTCAGCCATGTGGGAGTGCCCAGCACCATAACCACCACACCATCCGCTGGTCCCGATTTATTATTATTTTAATACTTCTAGAAAGAGACAGAGGGAGAGAAAGAGAAAGAAAGTAACCTCTAGGTCCAGGACTCAAACCATGGTCGGCCATGTGGGAATCTAGTACCTTTTGGCCACGCCGCGATCCCATCTCTTCCCTTCTCTCGGGATCTTGGGCATGCACGCACATGTGACCAGTGTGAGTTTAAGCCACCAAGGCTGGGACTCGAACTGCAGTCGACTACATGGGAGTCCAGCGACACAACCATTACGCTAATTGCTGGTCCCCTTACTGACTCCCTTTAAGCAGTATACTTTTAAAATTAACTATTTTAGAATGAAAGTCCCTTTTTTCAAGGATCATTTTATTTTATTTATTATTACTATTTAATTTGGTGAGAGAGAGAGAGAAAGGGAGAAAACAAGTTGCCAGGTCCAAAATTTGAACTGCAGTCCGTCATGTGGGAGCCCAGCACCTCAACCACCACATCACCTGCTGAAACTTTTTTTTAAAAAGTTTTGTCACAGGGCAGGTACACTCATCAGAGTGTGGAAAAAGTGAGAAATCACCCCTCCAGGGGAACGGACACATCACAATCCCTTTTCCTCCATTCTCCTCTCAGGATTTTGGGTGAGTGTGAGTGTGCGCACGTGCACACACACACACACACACACACACAGAGTGTGATTTTCAAGCTACCAGGTCTGGGACTTGAACCACATAGTCAGCTATGTAGAATCCAGCTACCTTAACCTCCACACCACCTCCTGGCCCTGAAAATCTTTAAAATTTGTTAAATACTAGGATTACATTCTATTTTTTTTTTAAAAGAACAAATTATTTTTATTTAACTTTATTTATTTATGCATTTTAAATTTGATCTGAGAAGGACAGAGTGAGAGCAAGAGAGAAGGAAAGTGAAAAAGCAAGCTGCCAGGTCCGGAACTCGAACTGCGGTAGGCCACGTGGGAGTCCAGTGTCCTAAGCCACCACGTCACCTGCTGACCCCAAGGATTACATTCTTAAATACTCATTGTATAGTTCACAACTCAGTGATCACTAAATTCTGTGTAAGTTACACTTGAGTATAATTACTCTATTTGTCTCTAAACTAGCAAACTATGGTATATAGGCAAACCCAGTCTGATGTGTTTTGTAAATAAAATTTTACCACAACAAAGCTCTGCCCATTTATTTAGGTACCATCTACAGTCACTTTCATACTATATAGACAAAGCTGAGTAACACTTAAAGACTGGGGGCCAGCAGGTGTTGTGGTTGGGGTGCTAGACTCCCACATGGCTGACCATAGTTCGAGTCCTGAACCTGGTGATTTGCTTTCTCACTTTTCCTCTAATGAATGCACATGCCCTATAGTAAATTTTAAAATAGCATAATAACTAGTAAAATTAAATAATTCATTGGAAAAAAAATTTTACTATGTGGCCCTTCACCAAATAAAGTTTACCTAACACTGCTCTAAACCACAGACAACTAAGTTAAAGCCCCCAAATGCTGAGTTTTTCTGTGTATCGCTGTCACAATCACCGTGGTCACTTTCTCCTGCTGCTGCTACTTGCACACCAACATCTTAACAGCTCTATGGTAACTCTTCGGCACAAGAGTACAATACTTAAACATCACAGAAATTTCTTTGGCTTATTTCCTGTTTAGATGTTTTTTGAACTTAACCACTAATATCACATAACCAAAGTTGTTATTATAGTATCATCAATTTAAAGTTAGTTTTAAAAGTACACAAATTACTTTCACAGGAACAATGAAAACATATGACACATTTTTCTTTCTTTCTTTTTGCTACAGGGAGCATGCGCTCACCAAGAGAGACAGTATGCATGCCCCCGCCACCCACCCACCCAACAGGGATGAACCATGCTGCAATCCCTTTTACTCCATCCTCCTGAGATTTTGGTCATGCGCACACATGCACGTAGTGTGTTTCTCAAGTTGCCGGGTCCAGTATTTGAACTGTACAATAGGCCATGTGGGATCCAGCCACCTTAACCATTAAGCCACTGGCTGGTCAAACCTAAACAACTTCTAACTGAAGTGTTCAAATAAACATTCTACCTACACGTAAGGCCCTCAGGATAGAAAGAAAATATTAATAAGATCTTTTAAAAAGTATACTCTCAGGACCAGCAGATGGCATAATGTTTACACTGCTTGACTCTCATGTAGTTGAGTGCAGTTTGAGTCCCAGAACTGGCAGGGCCAGACTCATGCCTGGCACATGTATGTGTGTATGTCCAAAATCCTGAGAGGAGAATGGAAGAGGAAGGATTGCTGCATGGCCATCCCCCCCCAAGGGGTGAGTTCTTGCTTTCTGTCTCTCCAGCAAGTGCACATATTCTACAGCAACAATCTCTCTTAATTAACCAAAACAAAGAAACAAGAAAAGGGTACTCAAGAAGTACCTCGACTTTATAGCTGCAATATACCTGCAGCTGTGTACTACCTGCTGGGAGAGACAAGCTGGGTAACAAGGGTGACATGACCTCTTAACCTCTCATTTTAATCCTAGCCCTTTCTCTCCCCTGATCCTATGAAAGCCCCATGTGTTCCAAGTATAAATCACTTTCAGACCTAAGTGTACAGTTACAGTCACAGATCAATTTTTAAACAAACAAAATACAGTTCTTTACAATGGCACTGGCCTTAACTGTGGCACATACTCTATAGCTGTACCTGGTTATAAAGGTTAAAGAATCGTGTACCTCAATTCCTGCGGTTTTGTGAGAAGTAGAAACATCAGCAGGAAGAGTGGGAAACTGAGA